AGGAGGAAGCGAGACCAACTTTGAGATAGACTTATATTCAGTCAGTATATCTGAAGAGGGTAAATGGGGGCAGAGGAGGAATAGTCAACTTCCATAGGAATCTTGTAGCTAGCCTTTCATTTTACATATTGGGGAAATTGAGACCCAGGAGAGGAAGCGGCTTGTTCAGATCAAAAAGAGAGTTAGTGGAAGACTCTGCAAGTATGTGAATGAGAACATGCCAGAAACACAGACTTTCAGCTACTTTTAAACCAGTATTGCAGATATGTGTGCCCACAATGTCATATAAACCTTTCCCTTTGACTAACAGTCATTAGTTTCTTGTCTAGAATTTCCTGTGAATTAAAGACACTACAACACCTTAGTTAAATGTTACTAATCCTCAGGAAATGATCAGATCTGTTTGTTTTAAAAATGATTATTTTTTAATCTAAGACTCTCATGCCCTAGGCATGTGATAAACTGTGTGTGTTTAAAAAAAATAAATAAAAGATTATTTCCTGTTACTCGTATTTTATCCTAGAAATGTGGCCATCCAACACTGAAGCAAATGCCTATCTACATAACCGGGCAGTGCCAACAGGGACAATATCTTATCTATTTTAGAAATCTCCACATTGTGGATGGCACAGGATAGGCACACAAACACTTTTTAAGTTGATTTATACATTATAGAAATCGTGGCCATTATAGTCAGACCTGGATGTGAGTCCCAGTTCTATCACTTACTAGTGAGTGTCCCTAAGCAACTTATTTCACCTCTGAGACCATTTCCTTACTTGTGAAATGTGATGAAGAGGATGCTTGTGTATCCATACACATTTCCTTAAAGCAGTACTTTGTGAGTATTCAAACCCCAAAATGATGCCTGGCACTTAACCTGTGTGGGGATCTTTTTTTTTTAAGGAGGGATTCTTATTTTTAATTCCATTTTAAATTGCAAAGTTGTATTGGGAATAACTGAGGCATTGGAATCTGAAATCTTGACAATCTATGCGTTATCTCTGAGAGATATACCTTAAACTAAAAAAAAAAAATAAGAGAAAGAAAAAGTGTCCTTGTGATTTTTTTTTCCACCTTTATCATTGATCATTCTCCATTTATGTCCTACCCCCTCTGCTTTCTCTCCTTTTCTTCCTCAACCTCAAAGAAACCTAATGGAGCCATATAAAAAGCTCCAAGATATAACTGACCTTGTGCACCTTTAATTGAGGACAGAATTTGCTAAAGTGCAGCCAAAAAACCCACCAGTGGTTTACTTTCCAATCTGTGTCCCGGCTAGACTAGCTGTTGGCTGTATAATTTGTCTAGTTTTGTCTGGAGTCCTAGACTATTCAGCTGCTTCAGGGCACAATCTTTTGGGGTGTCATTAAATGGGATTGATAATTGGCTTCTGATGAATATTCATTGTGACTAATGACTTTGGGCAAATTTTACACATACTATCTTTCTATTCTCCCACTGAGTGAGATTTGATAGAATCATTTTCCTCAACTTGCACTTTAATTAAATATTCACAATACCCCTTTGTTGACTACTACACTCCAAATTGTATACTTTCATCATTTTAAATTTTTGTCTTCTATGAAGAATGAGCATAGTCCTTTAAGACTTTTTCATTTTTAGAAATGGGACTTAGAGTTATTTTTAAAATAAGTAGTTAGTGATATTTTGTGTGTCATAGTACATCATTTCTGGTTAAGCATAGATATATGGTCAGACTTTTCCTGTAATCAGCTTAACTGCTGTTCTTAAGTAACGATGCACATAATTTGTACTATTTAGTATTTTGGAAAGGAGCCAAACAATTCCCCGCTTTGTTTGTTTGTTTTCTTAATCACATGGGTGAATGCATTTTATCCCAACTACAGAGATTTGTCCCTTAGAAAACTCCTGTAACAAAATGATCAAGCACCTTAAAAGCTTTGATTTTATTTATTAATTACTATTATTATTATTTTGCATCAAGGATAAGTAATTTTAAAATGTTGATATTTGGCTTAGTAGACTTATTTTGAGGTTAAGGACAGACACATGGAAAGAACATTTCCTGAGGATAAGATTTTGTCCCCAAACAACTTCAGTTAAAAAGAAGCTAATCAAGTTTTGTCTCAGACAGGACCGCTCTATCCAATGACTCTTTCAGAGAATTACAAATGAATGTGAGATGATGTTACTTTATGTTTGTAAAGTACCTTATAGGTTTTGAAGTGTTTTTATTTATTTGATATGTTTTAGAGTTATAGAGTAGGCATATTTTTGGATGAGTGATTTTCCAAAAGTGGTATATTTGTATGTCTAAGCATGTTATTGTTTTAGAATTTGAGTCATATGCCCTACTCTGTGAGACTCATGAAAATGTTGGTACAGTACTCTTGAAGCCAAGTCACCAGCTACCTTTATGTTGTGATGAATATATGCTAAGTAGGAATTTTTTTTTATTTATTCAGGACACGTCTCATTAAACAGCACTTATATATGTGCTTTGACACTGAGAACACGGGGATGAAGGGAGACGGGAACTTTGTGTACTTTATAATCAGGGTATAAACTGCAGATAGTAACAATCCAGTTAATAATGGGGACACATATCCAGGGGAGCCAAGGCAAGACTTCAGAGAAGAGGGGAGGAGTATGTGTGCAGAGACCTGAGAGAAGGGTTTGCTAGGGACACAAGTCTGGGCTACATTGGGGGATAAATAGAAACAAGAGGAGAGGAAAAGGAGTCCATAGCTATTCCTACATCTGCAAATGATATATTCCAAAGGGAAACTTGGAGAAGGCAGTTGAGACTGTGGTTGGAGATGCTGCTTTACAGGTAGACTGGGACCTGGTAAAGACATCTCAGTTATACCCCCAAAGACTTGGAGTACAAAGTGATATATGTCTGGCCCTACATGTTAAGGAAAGCACTCTGGCTGCTAGTTAAAGGCTGAGTGCAGAAAGAGCTGGGGCCAAAGGCCAGTGTAGCCCTCTAGACTGATTTCAGGGTCAAGTTGGAGTAAAGCTGGTTTATTCTCACTCAGCACCAGCAAGGATCTTTCATCTGTGAGAAATCCTGAAGGAATTAGTCATGTATATACATTTGGCAGCCTCCTTTGTCAGGGAACCTACCAAAGTAGATAGGGAAGAGTGGATTGCACCTCAGAGTCTTGGCAGAGTCGTTGGGAGCAGCTCCCTGACACTGTGGATCCCCTCCTGTTAGGAACGTGTATCTGATTTAAAGAACAGGGTCTGGAGGGAAGGGGAGGGTTGGGGAAATGGCGCCCTGGCTTTAATACACAGCTCTCACAACTGTGAAACATCAGCAGAATATCCAATTTAAAGCTGTTCATGTTACACTAACCTCTGGGATTCTTTTAACTGGGCCTTGGCACGTCACTCTTTCGCCACGTAAATGTCCTTCTGTCAGCAAAGACCAGTTAACAGCTTCCAAAAGAAGCAAAGTCCTCTTGGGAACAGGCTTCCCAGAAACCAAAGAAACATTAAAGAAGAAAGACGGAAAGAAACATGTGTTTGTTGGCTTTTGTCACTTCATAGTTATATCTCCAAAGGTGTTTTTTTTTTTCCTTCTCTTTTGGCCATATTGAATTTTGTAGCAATTGTATTCCTTTTATTATCTTTGTTTCCTAAATTTTTAGTTGTATTAAATACTGGTTTTATTATATTTGTAGCCCTTTATGAAAGGGTAGAGGATACAGAAAGGGGGCATGTCAAGAGAATAGGGAGAGGAAGGATTAGCCAGTAAACAGTGCCAGAGAAATTGATTAACTATGTGGAAAAAATAAATTATCACCTCAGCTCTTAACATTAAATTAATTCCAGATGGATTAAAGAGTTAAATGCTGGGAGAAATTTTGGAGGACTTTCTTAGGATGAAAGTAGTAGAATTCACCACCAAGGTAAAGATTAGTCTACATAATTATTTAAACTTTCTCTTCACTCAGAAATGCAGAGAAAATTAAGGATAGATTGTTTTTTAAAAATTACAGAGTGTTGGTATTCTTTGCAAATTATCGGTGAGTGCTTTTTTACAAATCAATTTTTAAAATCTGATATTCACTTTTAAAATAGGCTAACAATAAATAGACCATTTACCTAAGAAATGTATTCAATAACTGCAAGACAAAAAATATTTAGTCTCAGTCATGATCAGAGAAATAAAGATAGATACAACAAGTATGATCAAATAAATAAAAATAAAAGTAAGATAGATACAAGTTAAAGTTGCTATCTTGCCTACAATACTTGGTGCTGGTGACAGGCAGCAAGACCAGCATCATAGTGTGTGGCTGGGTGAGTATAAAGAGCCTCCCGCCTTCTCTTTTTATTATATTAACATATTTCTGATATTTGTGTTACTATCCTTATTATAAGCCTTAAAATATGCATGACCTTTGTGAATTTTACATTTAGGAACCATACATAAAAAATACTGACCTGATGCAATTTTATAACTTAATGATAAAAGAGTAGTTAAATAGGTGAAATTCATTGCATATCATTAAAAGATATTTTCCAAGAAGATTTAAAGATGTGGGAAAGTGGCATAAAAATTTTAACTTTTAAAAAGAGCAAAAAGAATACTGTATTCATAGTATTGTTAGGAAAGGAAACATAAGTACTTATTCATGTAACCCTTGAAATGTTAAATAATCTTCAGATAATGTAGACTTTTATTTTCTTTTATCCCTTTCTCCATTTTCCTAAATTTCTGCTCTAAATGTGCATTAGTAATTTTTTTCATTTACAGTGCTTGGGATGGAACCTGCTAGGCAAGCACTCTCCCACTGAGCTATACTGTCAGCCTTATAGTTAGCTTTAAAGTGGGGGCGGGTGGGGGAGGATGGATAGACACTTTGAAGAACCACCTCCTCCTAAATTTGTATTAGAGTGATTGGGTTAACTTATTTTCTCCATACTTCTCAGCTTCTTTAAGATATGTTGCTTCCCCCACTTTGGTTTTTTAGCTCTGAATCTCTGCTCTGCTTCTGTTGCAGTTGACTGCCTGCATCCATGGTGCAGCTGCAATGCTCTACCCCATGTACTGGCAACATGTGTATATCCCCGTGCTGCCTCCACATCTACTGGACTACTGCTGGTAAGGCTGCTGCATATCTTGCCCTCTGTTTTCCCTCTTCCAGGACCCGGAATGTTAGATCTATAGCTGTTAATGCCACTGGTGACTCTAAATTAAAAATACTCCAAAAATGGCATGGGTTTTAGAGCACCTGATTGCATGGCTTTTTTATTTCTAAATAGCCTTCATATATGTCATGACATTCTGAAGAGTTCAAGAGAGTAGATAATACTTTTTCATACTTTTCCTATTTCTCAGTTTGGATAAACCAAAGCACCAAGAAGTCATATACTTTTGTTTCCCCCTCAGACAAATTGGAAACTGGTGACAGGAGCATTTGAGATCCCCAAGATCTTCAAGTTTCAACCATGCCCTAGAACGTCCCATCATACTTGCTTTCAGCTGTGGTTTGGGAGCATAAGCTAGATTTCAAAACCTCTTGAGGCTTTTGATAAAAATTTCACTATTCAGTGAAACATGATTTAGTGAAAGGAGGAAAGTTTTGGAGTTGACTTGACAGGTCACATGGCCTAGGACTTTGTTTCCTCTTCTGTAAGAAGAAGTTGCTTAATGCATAATTACATAGAGATGAAACAAGACAGCAGTTGAAGCATCATGTAGAAAAGCTGGCTTGTGGTCGGTGCTTAGTTAACGTTTCTGCTGAAGCATCATCCTCTTCACTATCTGTCTTCAGTGGATGACTTTAAAAAATGGTTCATGTGGTGAATTCTCCTTATGAATAATTTTTTTCTCTAGAGTAATGTGATAAAAGACATTGTCCCCAAATAGCTCCTATCAGGAGATATTGGCAAAGGGAGCACAATGTAGGGATGTAGCACTGCCTGCCAGATTGGAGAGCTTCTGGAGAAAGGGACTCATTCAAGCCACTACAGGCCTCTCACTTAACAGATGATTCAGGATATTTATCATTGGGTCTGAATGATTTGAGTCCAGATCAGTCTAATTGTTGCTCTTTTGAAATCATTTCACGGAAAAGATTCACCCAAGTAGCCAAATTGACTTGGGAGCTTAAAGGCATTGTGCAGTCATTCCTAATTTTAATGTGTTGGGTTTGCCTTGCTCTCAGGAAGCCATGTATTTAATGAAGATGTAACTGAGGGCCAGCATATAAAAATCTGTGATCCTCTCTTTATTATACATTCTTTTTTTTTTTTATGGTACTGGGGATTGAACTCAGGGGCACTCAACCACTGAGCCACATCCCTAGCCCTATTTTGTATTTTATTTAGAGACAGGGTCTCACTGAGTTCCTTAGTGCCTCAGTAAGTTGCTGAGGCTGGCTTTGAACTCGTGATCCTCCTGTCTCAGCCTCCTGAACCTCTGGGATTACAGATGTGTACTGCTGTGCCCAGCTCTTTATTATATATCTTTCTTACCAAGGCAGATTATCTTATCCATGCCTTTCTCTCACCTTTTATGAGATTAAGAGGCCATATGTCCCCTACCATGTGGAGTATATATATATAATCCTGGTTCATTTAAAATTTCTTCTTGATTCATGAGGGGACTAGGTCCCACATTTTGTCAGTATGTCTCTTTATAACTTGGTTTATTTTGGAAATTATTTTTAGTTCATGATGTGTTCCAGGTGCTGCTAGACTAGATTTTGTTTTCCATCTCTCTTTTGGTGGAGGTATTGTAGTTTTTGCAGCTGGAAAAGGATAATAATATAAATTCCTCATAATAAATTCACCTTATTCACCATTAAATGTTTGAGTTTTCCCCCTTCCTCATGGGGTGTTTTCAAACCCTCAATCCTTGCCTCTCTTCAGGTTCTCTAGCTTCTCCCCAACTGGGGACTCCATGGAGTGCTGAACCATCTCCAATAGGAGATCATTAGACACCTGTGCCCACTGCCATAGCCTGGTGCAAGTCCACTTCATCTTTTGGCTTCTAACACAGAGACTAGGAACTTTCTTCACTGCCCTGTCATTGTCACTGACTTGTCTCCAGTTCCTCATCTCCTTTCCATCTCTTTCCCTGCTGTCCTCAGTGACTTCAGAAGCCACACTGTTAGCCTCCCCTACTCCCACTGAACCCACATTGGCTCTATTTCATCATTTGTATAGAAGTTACTTCCCTCCATTAGAGAGTCCTGAAGTAGTGCAAAGATGAACTAAGAAGACTCAATTACTGGCCAGTTGTGTAACTGAGGGCAAATGACAGCCTCTCTGAATCTCTGCCCATATGTCTAAAAGAATAAAAATACTAGAACATATTCCTTACACTGTTTCTAAACAATTGTATGTAAAAAAGCACTTTGTAGACAGAAAAACAATATCAACCACCCAGCAGGATGACACACTTGGTGTTATTGAACTGATTCCCACATCTCTGGCTTCAGGTTCTCCCCTCTGATTCTGACCCTATTCTTTGACTGTCTCAGCAACTCTCTTTCTTCTAAAAACCCTTTGTCTTTACCATGTCTTTCCCCCAGCCTCCTTTTTGCTCCCTCTGTTCCACCTCTTTGATTTTCTTGCTGTCCTGTTTGCTCTTGTGAGCTTTTTCAGTATAGCAAATGTGTACTGATACCTCTGTGTCTCAGCACTGTGCTAAGTGTGGGGAAGGCCAAGGTAAGAGCCAGTCTCCATCAAAAGGGGCTCAAACAGTTGGGTATAGAAGACAGGCACACAGACGGATTATTTGCACAAACACTGCTAAGATCTGTGAGAAGGGAGCTGTTCCAGATTACTTTGCCACTTACCTGGAGACTCTGGCCCTCTGGCCTTGCCATTAATACTATCCTGCCCCATCTTCCTGTCTGCTTCTTGGATGACAGATATGTCTGGAGAAAGTCTGGAAATCACTGCAGAGAGGACTCACTGCAAAGTGGTGCCATCTGCCCTCCTCAGCTTGCCCTGTTCCTCTGAGCTCTGAGCCTCACTGTACTCACCATGCTTCAGGTTTGGGCTGGCCTTCACCACATTCTGAAGGCTCCTGCAACTGCCTTCTTCCCTCCACAGAACCTATACTCGTGGCCTCTCTTTCCTCCTTTCTACCATCTCTAAGGAAGGAAGAGCAGTTTGTTCAAAACCATTGACTTCACCTTACTCAGGGTTCTGTCTCCTGAGGGTTGTCTGGGTGGGACCCATCGGGACCTCTGATCTACCTGGTATCTTCAAATCTCCTGCCTCTTCCCTCTCTTCTCTCCCCACAGATGTGCTCAGGTGCCCCATTCTTCCAACTAGACCTTCCTTCACTTGCTGTTCTTTTTGAGTTTCTGAACCAGTTCTCTTGGTTTTTTCACTGCCATGTATCTCAAAGGAAAGGACTATTACTAGGGTTTCTTGTCATTTGGATAAAAGATGGGGAGGCTGGAGCAGGGAGAGGGGGAGTTAGAAAGGAAGGGAAGAAACAAACTATTCACCCAGGGAAGGTAGAAGGGAGGGAGATAGTGAAACGGAGAGAGAGCAGAGAAGGGAGAAGGTAGAAAGGAGACATATATAATCCAAGACTCATAGAGTGACCAACTGCCCCTTCAATGCAGAACCTACTAGATTCCTTCTCCCCACAGCCACTACACCCTCACAGGCACATGACTCCTTCACAGATGCCTATCCCTTCCCCAGAGGCATGCCTCAGGATTTCCCATGTGGAAAGAGACACTCCCCATGTGACACAGCCTAGACAGTGCATTAAAGGGCAGCCTCAGAGCCTCCCAAACTCCAGTGAGACTCAACCTTCATGTCTCAGCACTAGCCTCAGACAGGAACACAGGGATTCTGAATTCAAGCATGGGTAGAGCTGGGAGAATTGACCATTGCCTCTGTCACATAACACAACTTTAGCTTGCCATTATTTATAAAGTTGTGATTTCTAGATTTTTAGTTACTTTAAGACCAGCATCTTATAAAATTCCAGAACCATGGAGAAAATCAAATGCTATGTCATTAATATCAGCAGTAACAGTAGTCGCCATTGTTGAGTGACTCCTTGGTCCTAACCACTGGACCTGTGATCTTGGTTAGCTCTTCCAACTGCCCTGCAAAGCAGGTGTGATTAGTTCCATTTCATTACATCAGTAAACCATGGCCTCAAGAGGTTTAGTGATTGACCCCATTATAGACAGTATATATTGTCTGATTCCAACCTTTTAAAAACAAGAATTATATGAATTCATAACACAAAATTAGATATGTCTATGTACAATAGAGAGGCAGAGTTCTGGAAAGAAATATATCAAAATGTTTAATAGTGACTTATGATTGCGGGAGAGAGGGTTCCAATTTGATTTTTATATTATTTTCCATATTTTCAAATGCTTCTTGTTTAAATTTTATTTGTACTTTTTAGATACACATGGCAGTAGGATGTATTTTGGCATATTCTACTTAAAGGAGTATGACTCATTCTAATCAGAATCCTATTCTTGTGGTTGTACATGGTGTGAAGTTACTCTGGTCATATTTTCAAATATTTCCAAAATGAGGAAGTATGGTCTTTTATAATTGAAAAAGCTTTCTTTTGAAAACTAAGTGTTTATTCGAGCCAATGGTTCTTTCCCGACACCATCTCTCCCATTTTACTTATTTAGAGGATTTTTTAGCTTCTTTATTCTTTCTTATGAAAGCCAGTCCAGGATCCTCTTTGCAACTTCATCTCACTCTCAAGAACTAGATTACCAGCCTGAGTGAGGTCATTGTTGTTGGCAGGTCCAACTTTGAAGGAAAGAGTTGGCAAGGAAAGCCACTGAGCCTTTGTTACCCTAAACTTCACCCCAGAGAATCAAAGTTAAGACTTGAGGCTGTGGGTGCCCTTGTGGTTTTTGTGGGGAGGCTATTTCTGGATGTCTCTGTGCTTGCGTGAAAGTCTTTCCTGGTCTCTTGTTTTCATGAAAGAACTTTTTGAAATAAGACCAAAAGATGATTACAGGCCAGAGGGGGGCATTGGTGTCTGTTAACTGTAAGATGTAAGGATGATGAAATGGAAGACCAAAACAGAAAAATCAGCTCCTCCAAACAAGGCTTAATTTGGTCACCTTCAGCCTGCTGCCCCTACAC